AGGATCCTCATATACTATTTAAATTTTATGCAAATGTGTATCCATGCATTAAGTTTCAGAAAAGAGGGTTGCCCCATGTGCACATACTTCTATTCCTTGACCAGCAAAACAAGATTAAAGAGCCTGCAAATATTGACACTAATTTATATGGAGATACCTGACAAGGATTCAGATCCTAAATTGTATGAATTAGTCAAGAAGTTTATGGCACATAGCCCTTGTAGAGCACATAATCTGAAAACAACATGCATGAAAGATGAAAAATGCAACAAGTACTTCCCTAAGAAGTTTAATAATCAAACTACAATTGATGGTGAAGGATACTTTACATATAGAAGAAGAGATGATGGTCAGACAATAGAAGTGAGGTTTATAGATTTAGACAGTCGATACATTATACCTTACAATCTAACTCTCTTATGGATGTTCCAAGCTCATATCAATATTGAGAAGTGTAATCAATCTACCTCTACCTTAATTAAATACCTATTCAAGTATATTAGTAAAGGCAATGATAGGGTTGTGGCAAGGATATAGGATACAAATGCAGAAACAGTTTTTGATGAAATCCAACAATATTATAACTTCAGGTATATTTCTGCATGTGAAGCTTATTGGAAAATATTTGGATTTGACATTATCATAGGTATCCAGCAGTTGAGCGATTGAGCTATCATCCACTTAATCGACAATGTGTCGCTTACTCAAACACTAATGATATTGCAACACTGCTTGATAAGCCAAGACTTTGTAAATCACAGTTTCTTGCATGGATGAAGATTAATGCAAGAGAAACATTTTCAAGGAGTCTTACATATGCAGAATTTCCTAATCACTATATTTACCAAAAGGGTAAATGACAATAGAAGAGAAGATGAAAAGGATTTGCAGTTGGGAGAATTACTAATGCATCACCTACTTTTGGTGAATTATACTATCTACACATTCTCTTAACAAAAGTAAGGGGTCCATGTTCATTTGATGACATCAATACTATAGATAGTGTTGTTCATCCAACATTTAGAAGTGCATGCTTTGCCCTTGGTTTATTAGATGACGATAAAGAGTATGTTTGTTTAACAAAGGAAGCATCTACTTAGGTTACGATTAACTCATTACGAAAGATATTTGCAAGCGTGCTATTATGTTGTTGCCTGAGTCATCCTTATATTGTTTGGAAAGAGACAACAAAGCTTCTATTTGAAGATCTCTTTTATATGCCACATCATGATCATGAATTCATTGGTTAGTATTCTTAATATTCAACTTTTAACACATTGATATTGATTTTAGTTATAACAATCATTATTAGTAATGAGTTATTATTAATTATTTATATCTTCAATTATAAACTAGTTGACATTTCAATCACAAAAGGAACATCATGCATTATTAGAGATTGACAAATTATTTCAAGCTAATAAGAAGTCTTAATGATTTTCCTTTTTTGCCAATACCACTTGATATTCTAACAATCGATCTCACAAATCAATTGATTCTTCAAAAATTAAACTATGACCACTTAACCTTGCGAACTAAAGCCACCAGACTTATCAACTCACTTAATGTTGATTAAAGGGATATATTTGACAAGGTGATGAATTCATTAGATGACTATATCAATGGTTTTTTCTTTGTTTATAGCTATGGTGGAATTGGGAAAACCTTCCTTTGGAGTGTAGTGACATCTACATTGCCTGCAAGAAGTGATATTGTCCTCATTGTGGCATCAAGTGGCATTGCAGCAACATTGTTACTAGGAGGTCAAACAACACACTTGAGGTTTGGAATTCCTATTCAGATCAATGAATTCTCTATATGCTCTATCAAGCAAAAGTCTACACTTGCAAAACTGATTGAGTGTAGAAAACTAATTATAGGGGATGAAGCACCCATGGTACAAAGATATTGCATTAAAGCTCTTGACAGCACATTTAAGCATGTCATGCATTTAGATAAACCATTCAGGGGAAATGTGTTGTCATGGGTGGTGATTTTCGATAAATCTTACTTGTTATCCCAAAGAGTACAAGGGCTATCATTGTTAATGCATGCATAACATCATCATCATACTTATACCACATTGCATTGTCTTCAAACTGAAAAACAACATGAGATTGGCTTCATCTTCGTCTGACAAGGGAGGTATTCAATTGCAAAAGTTCTCATAATAGTTGCTCGACATTGGTGATGGTAAAATAGGCCTTCCACATGATGGCATTGCAGAAATTGATATACCTATGGAGTTGTTGATCACCGGCTACACTGATGCTATCGAAGCTATAGTGTCAGCAACTTATGGTAATATTCTTGAACACATGGAGACTAATGAATTCTTCAACGATAGAGCTATCTTGGCTCCAACTATTGAGCATGTCGATCAAATAAATGATTACATGTGTTTATTATTACCTGGGGATTCATATGACTACATGAGTTGTGACATGGTATGTCAAGCAAGTGATGACACTGATTCATTAGATAACTTGTATCCTACTCAGTTCCTCAATACTATTAGTAGCTCGGGTTTACCACCATACAAGCTGACACTTAAGATTGGCGCACCTATCATGTTAATGAGAAATATTGATCAAGCGACTGGGTTGTGCAATGGTACATGTTTACATGTGACACAATTAGGGAAGACGGTCATTAAGACAATTACTTTGAATGGTTCAAAACCTAATCAAAAGGTTCTGCAACATAGAATAAATATGAATCCTTCAAAAAGCATATGGTCATTTAAGATGCGGAGAAGGCAATTCTCAGTTACACTATCATTTGCCATGACAATAAACAAGAGTTAAGGACAATATTTGAAGAATGTCGGATTATATCTAAAGAAGCTTATTTTTATTTATGGTCAATTATATGTTGCATTGTCTAGGATGAAATTAAGTGAGGGGTTGAAGATAGTAGTTGATGACAGTTCAAGCATTTACCTCTGCAATGATTTGTGTTGATTTCCAACAATGTTCATTCTTATTAATATTTGTACTTTGTTATGTTATTTGAATGGACTTACATACACATTTTGCAAATTAGTACAATTTCCCTGTGTAGCGCAGGGCAGCACCAACTAGTTTAATAATGGTAGTTTGATAATACCCGGGTTAATACAAATTTTAGTCCCTCAAATTTGAGTCAATTTTGGTATTGGTCCCTGAAATTTCAAACCCACGGTATTGGTCCTTGAAATTTTGGCTGTTATAAAACGTTGGTCCCTAGTACCTTTACACCGTTAACTTCATCTGAGATGGCACTAACACTGTTATCTGGATGAGGTGGATATATAAACTGGCACATATATGGCTTGATGACTTGGACATAAAGGAAAAGAAAAAAGGCAACAACTCAAAAAAAAAGCTCACACACATGACAGAATAATAGAAATGGAGGCAGCAAATTCGTTGTTGATCTCTCCCACTAATTCACTCGAGATAGCAACTTCGCAATAATACTGCTCTTTCCACTAAAGAAAAAAAAAAGGGAGACAATTCCATGGTCGAAGTGGCATATTTCATGTGTGAACGACAAAATGGTGCTCAAGACTCACCTTGACAGCAAGCATAAGCTTGCTTATGATGGATACATCTCCAAGGTATGTCAAATGCTTTGGTTATTAGATCTTGGAATAAAATAAGTAAATTAGTGTTTTTTTTTTCAAATTTACAGCTTTTATATAGTGTCATGAAAAGAAAAACTCTTGTTGATAGGTGCCGATTCCACCTTATGATGTGTACTCCATTGATGATGCCTTGTTAGCTACTATTATATTCAACTAAAATCCATCATATCCAACTATGATACTGTTGTGATGTCATTAAAATTCATGATATGCAACTAAAATAATGTCAAGTTACAATTTGAATTGCGTCTTTGTTAGTCTCTGTTTTTTAGAGTAAAAACAGAGCTAATAAAATAATGTGGTGGCATAGTCTTTTGAATAAGATCAATCCATTTAAGTCCAAGCACTTGAATGGGAAGGCAAAGGACGTCTTGACGCCTTGGCATTTGCAGTTTGAACAAGTCTCTTGATTCCAAATTGTTAACTCATTGCAGGTCTATTCTTTTAGTCTTATTGTTTTGAACATTGCATTAATTAATTAGCTTGATCAACTTGTGGTCAAGCTCCAATGCGTGGATCGGTTTTTAGCCAGTAATGCTTAATTACTCCCTTATCACATATCATTTTATCTGCTGGCAATCACCGGTTTGCGTCTGACGACTTTAATGCCCAACACACACAACAAAGATGATGATGATGAGAGGGTAGTAAGTAGAATCATCATCAGCTTTATTTATGCACCCAAAAAAACATTGATGGATCCTCTTTACCTGTTGTTTGCATCAAAGAAGAGACTTGATCACTGTGACATATAGCTTGAGTAGAATGTTGGAGATTCTTGCATCCATCAAGACTGTCTTATTAATAAGGGATCACGATGAGGATGCTAAGATGATGAAGAAGTTATTAAAAAAAGGGACCCAGCATTTGCCCCAAAAGAACCATTGAAGAGCCATATTTGCTGCAGTTTAGCCCATTGTCTTCTGAGTGAGCAATGAAATAACTTTGGTCTTGTTGATTGCCATGTCAGCATGTTCCACCTCATTAGACTAACGGTGTTAGTGCCATCTCATACAAAATTAACGGTGTGAAGATACCAGGGACCAACGTTTTCTAACGGCCAAAATTCTATGGACCAATATCATGTATTTAAAATTTCAGAGACTAATACCAAAATTGACTTAAATTTGAGGACTGAAATTTATATGAACCCATAATATCCTCATAAAACAGTGCTACGTGGATTCAAACTAAATTGAGAGGCTCTATAAATGCCGCAACAGACACCACGTAGGATCCAGGCATATAAAAGCAAGAACAGTTCATCAGTTCCCAACTGGTTTCCTCACTCATTTTTCCCTCCAAAAAATCGTCCCTTTCCTTCTTTTTTTTTTTTGGGCCAACAAATCGTCCTTTCCCCCGCGCCAACACTCTTGCTTTCTTCTTCAAGGTTCCTTCTTCTGAGAAAACCTTATTCGCGATTCACCTCCTTGAATCGCAAGAAATTCTGAAGCGGTTTTTGTCTGTTGTTTTTATTCCGAACAAATATGGAGGATTACTTGCAGTATATGAAGGCCTTGCGCTTTCAAATGAACGGTGCGGATTCTGACCGTATAATCGTTTTACTATTTAGCTTCGTGATCTGGAAGTGAATTCGTTGAATTATGTGCAGATGTTGAGGATCAAGCGGCGAAGATTTCTGCGGAGGAGGAAAGGCAGTCGACTAATGCCCGCACTTTGGAAAAAGACATCGAGTCAGGTCTCCTTTTCTCCCCGTTTCTTCTATGTAATTGTGCCTTTCTTTAGCATCTATCAATTATATCCCTTCGTTAAATTTCCTTTCCCAATCCAATGAGGATCTTACCTTATCTAGTTTTAATAACTTCAAAAGAACGAAGAGCACATGAACATTTTACTGACTCCTACTAAAACCTATACATGATCCATTTCACGCTCAAACACTTGACTTCACCAGGACAAGTGAAGAAATGGACATTGCCAAAGTTTTTATAAAATTACTCGCAAGCTTAGGAGGTTGAAAAATTCGAGATCACATTCTGCGTCCTTTTGTGAAAACTAAACCAAAATAATCAGATTTTTGGATGATTAAGCTCATGCTATCTTTGTTCTGTTGTTCTACAATTTACTGAGACTTAGTCTTTGCTGATAAAATACTAAGACCATGTTTCAAGGGTGAATATTGCTGCTAGCCAGACATTTATATTTCTTTTTCTCTTTTGGTCACTTGTCTTCGTCCTCTAATTCTTCCTCTATTTGAAAGGTCCATGCAATTCTACTGATACCATAAGGACCATTCTCTTTAAAATTTAGATTTGAACTTCCTCTAAAATTTGGATGGTGGATCTCTGACTCTAAATTATCCGTGCTTCTTATTTTATATGTAGCAAAATCTGAAATGAGGCAGCTCAGAGAAGATATTGAAACGATAAGGAAGGCAAAGGGTGAGATATGCTCCAAAATTTTGGAAAAACAGAGAAAGGTTTCCTCTTTGGAGTCTGACTCATCTACACTTAACCAGGTAACTTCTAAATGGGTAGATTTATTTGTCTGCATACACTTTGTACCCAACCGGTTATTAAATCTGTCTGTGTAAAATAGTTACAGAGAGAAAAGAAGTTTGTGTGATTGGTGGCACTTTAACTGTCAGCCTGAGGTTCAAATTGTTCTTTCTTTGACACTCTAGGGAAAGAAATAGAACTTACGCTGTTACATTTATATTATATCCAATGATTTTGAACTTTTAAATTCTAGTATTTGTTAATATCATGGCAGAATGCCAGCTTTGTCAGGTTCTTTTTGCTTGTGCAACATCTCTTGGCTTTGCGAATTTGAATATTTCACTGTTTGATCTTCTTTCTTTTATTTATCCTTCCTTACTTGGAATATCCAGTATGTTGTCTTGATAGCGGTCGCTTTAAACTAGAAATCTGAGAGGACCATCCTCGGTGGGCTTTAGCCCAATTTTCAAGATTATCTCTAATTACTGCCTATTCTTATTTCATTTTTGTCTTTGCATTTGCTATATTGAGATGTCATTTTTTTGAGTTGATTTACCACCTTGAATAGCAATTTGGTCGTCAGTCATGGGAGTGTCGGCCTTTTCACAACAATTGAATGTGACAAGAACTTGTTTATTCTTTATAGTTGTCTATTATAAGAGTGCGTAAAACTAAATAAATGAGAAACAAGATAACCAAAAACTTATCAATCCAGCTCAAATATGTTGAGATAAAAGTTTGCATTGAGCTAGCCGTATATCTTTTGTAAATCCATGCCCCCCTCAACTAGCATAATGAAATATTCTTTGTCATGGTTAGAGCAGTACTGCTTGAACACTGTTGAACATGGGCCTAAAGCCCCATGGTAGAATTTAGGTGCAGAACATGTGGGATAAGGGTGTTTTAGATTGACAGTTAGAGTGGAGAAGAACATATAACGTGAGAGATGGCTGTATAGGAGTATGAAAAGTCTGGTGAGTGAATTAATGCACAGCGAGGGATTCTCTTTCTTTACTTTGGGTATACCTCCATATGACTTACACTCTGTGGAGGAGTATTTTCATTTGATTAGTCCATATTTTCAGTACTTATTTCCTCCAAACACATTAACTTCCAATGCAGGACTCAAGTATGACAACCTAGAATATTAAGATTTCACTAATAAATGAAGGAAATATAACTTTAAAAAATTGTATTTTGATATGACTTTCAATTTATTTAAATGCAAAATTATTTGAGGGTTATGAATCAAAACTCAGATATTGTATTGTGTGCTTTTGGATGCCCTATGACCACATTTATTCCTTTTCCCAAGATAGGATGACTAATCTGATCCCTAATTAGAAATGAAAGATAGAGGGAAAGAAGGGGAAATAATCTGATACCTTATGCTGTCTTTGCTGGTATTGTTGATGAATTTCGACCAACAGACTCTTGAACTTATTCAGCAAGAGAGACTTGGGTTATCTACCAAACTTGAAGAGAAGAGGTAAATTGAGGATACTACATAAATGACCCTATACATGTCGTCCCCCTCTAAAATGTTATTCTCTATCAGAGCTTTCTACAGAATGGTCGAAGAGGATATGAATGCCCGATTACTGCAACAACAGGTTTAATTTTATGATTGCTTGTCAGGTGAGTTTTCATTTAGTTGTTGAAGTTGTGGATTAAATTTAAATCCTTGACAGGAATGGATTAGTTCTAAGAAAAAGGGCAGACAAGGAAAGGAGCATGAATTGGTACGTCTTTGCTAATTCTATACAATTTTTTAAAAGAGAATATGTGGAATATAGAATAAAGTCATAAACCTATACATCTTTCGGCATCTTTGAAAATAAGAAGCTTGGTATGTGGGTGAATGTACCGCTTAAGTTTGTTCATTCTGGAGGATTATTGTCAGCTTTTTCCCTGTAATAAGTAAATTTCACTATGTTCTACCAGTAATTGTCAATTTTAACTTATGCAGGTGAAGGATATAGGTGATGGACAAAGGGGCATATCTGCAGGCAAGACTGACCTATTTTGAGCATGTTTCAGATTTATTTGTTGTGCCTGCTTTGACAATGCTTTTTAGGTTTTTGTTTTCAAACTCTTGGTAAATCAATACTTTTATTTTCAAGCATATATCACATATTCAACTAACGAATCGCTAAACTAAAATATTGTTGATTTCATATAGCGTAGTTTTAAAAAAGTTCGAAGGCAAAGGAAAGCAACCCCATTCTGTGGGTTACAAGCATTATGAAAAGTGAAGTTCTTAAATTAAAGTTGATACCCTGGCCATGTTTTTTTAAACATATCTTGCAGGGGAGGCAAATGCTGACAACGACTTTATGATGGATCATTTGGTAATTCACTTCTCTCATTGATGAGTTGTCATACAATGCTTGAAGTTGGAATCAGGTAATTTACCTTTGTATAACAGGCGAGTGATGCAATGAAGAGATTAAGGACCCAGTTGGATTCAGCTAAAGCAAGGCTTGATGAGATTTTACTTCTGAAATCCAATCTTGTTGCAGAGAATAGCAGGGTTCCTTATCTGAATCCTTTAAAATAGCAAGATATTTATTACATAAGTTTTTGGTTGTTTCTTCTATATTTGATTTTCCTTATACTAATTTGTTTTGAAAGCATGCAGGGGGACAAAAAAAAAAAAAACTCCTCCGGTCCTATATTTGATCTTGCTTATACTATAAGGGTCTTATATTTAGGACCAGAAGAGTATTTTAGATAGTACTCTGAGGAGTTAAATCACAAGTTCAATTAAGCCATGAGTGACGTTGGAGCACAAAAACCAAATTTGCAGCAGAACCAATGCTGCAATTGTGAATTGCAAGGAATTATATAGTTGAGATGAAGCTACATAAACTAAGAAAGTCATATACTCGTAAAATAGAATGATATAATAGTAAAAAAAGTGATAATCAATGATTTCCGTAACGAAATCATTAATATATTACCACTGAGGTATTGAAAAACAAAATTTAATCACACCAGTATGTATATATTGAAGAATGTTGTCATTCTGTATTTCTAAATTATGTATTGGAAAGTAACCAGGCAGAATATTGAAATAACAAATCTTAGTGAGTTTGGGATTAAATACTGTTTCAAATGAGAGGGTAGTCAAATGTTTCCTTACCTGATCATCAGAACTACAAAGAAAAAAGTAAAACTTGTCGATATAGCATTCACCATTCTTCCTTGGCTTCTTGTTGTTCCCATTTTGTGCAATTTACTTCCAAGTTGTGAGTGGTCTTGTTTACAAAATCTGTTTTTTCAAGTCATGGGCAAAACTGTTTACATCATAAGTTATTAATAATTTTGCTGGATGCGAAAATTGGACGTTAGAGAAGGTCCAATTTTCAAGCTTTCAGAAAGCTTTGATTTTTATTTGATTTATTTTCTTTGTTATGTTAACAGGATTTTTTTTTTTTTGGCCCCTTTACAGTTAGCTAAAATAGATATTTCTGTTTTGACAATCAATCTTTTCCACTTAGAAGGGTTGGAGCTAATATATCCAGTTCTCAACCACATAGTAGAAAGTTTTATCTGCAGTTGTTGGCAAATGTTATTCTTCAGTCATGGAGAAAGATTTTCAATTCCTTAACACTTTTGCCACACAAAAAAAAGACATATCACAATCACTATTATAGTATATACTGCGCTGTTAAACATGGTTTCTTATTATAAACTTTCTTTGCATCTTTTAAGAGTTTCTCTTGCATCTCAGATGACACAAGCTACGGAGGATATGAAGAACAGAACAAATACTTATAAGGTTGGTTGTTATTTTGTAGGGATTTGTATCATAAGCGCGAGTATTACAGTGGTCCTTCGTGCTGATTCCTGGCTGGAAAATAGTTATAATAAATTTTATATGGGTATAGATTAATCTTATATGAATAAGATTCCTACCTTTTTCTTTTAAAAAGATCAGCGAGTGGACTTAAATCGATAATTTTTTATACTCGTATATATTTATTTAATTCTTTTCTTAAATAATGCATGAGTTTCTCCAGTCAGAGCTGAAAGAAGCAGACATAACAACTCTTGAAGACGAATATAATGCCCTCATGTCTGACAAAGCTGGAGAAATCGAGTACCTCAAGTCTTTGGAGGAACAAGTTCAGAAACTCAAGGTGTTACTCCTTCCAATCCTTATTATAAGCACCTAATAACAATTTCCCATAAATTAGTGAACTTAATTAAAATTAATTATTTATTGCAAAATATCAAAATTACCCTCAATAAAATTTATTAGTTAGAGGACTTTGATTAATTAATTAGGAAGTTTTTATATGAGCAAGGGATACTAGCAATAGGTGAAAAGGAATTAATGCGAATAATAAAATGTTATATATATTATGAAACATGCTGGAGAGGTGTGTATAAGATCCGGAGGGAGAATTATTTATGTGTTGGTAATTTATACAAGGTAGAGAGCTTGCCATCAGCTACAAAGTTCTGATACGAGGTGAAACATGGTGCAAAACATAAATATTAAAGTCAATATTGAGTTGAGTTCTTCAGAATTTATATGAAAAATTGAAAATCGAACTCTCTTGAACTTCCTCGTTGCGTTGATAGAAGTCTCTGATTTTTTTTTTTTTTTTTACAGGAAATCCGTCACGTCGTGAAATGTGCTTGTGGGGAGGAATATCTAGTGGCAGTGAGTAGGTGAATAGAATACAAAAGAAAATGAAACTTCAACAGCAAGTGAAATGAGCCTCAATTGTTTAAAGTGCTCGAATAGAAGATAATTTTCCAGTTTTGTTTGAGCATTCCTTGTGCTTCTGTTCTGTGTTTCACAAATTACAAGTCTTTCATATGAAATATATCGCAGTTATGCATCTACAGAGTAATGCTTGTGTTTAAGGTTAGCTATCGATCAACATTTACGCTCCCACCACTTAAGGGAATTTGTCCTTAGATTCCCAATTATAAGAATTGCACCACAAGAGGATATCGATCTCTTAATGAAATCTTAATTGTATTTAGCCAAAACCACGATCGCATAAGTTTTCAACTTTAAAGAAAATTTGATTCACTCATCGGTCCCCTGAAAATAGCTTATAGCCTTACAAAATAGGTGCCTTCAAGTGGGCAAAAATAATAATATGTTGATTTAAAAGATAATCTCGTGGCAAATTTAAAAGATCCTTAGGTTAATTCAAAATATGCAAGGGATCCTTTAAATTTTTTTAATAATTCATTAAATCCTAAAAAATCCTTAGGATAGGGTCTTTTACTTGTTTTCCCCCATGTGCCCACTTATAAGTTGAATGTCAAGATATCACTTAGCATACCACTTAATGCTTGGCTGATATATCATATCTATTTAAATTTGCTTTCGGATGTTGACATGATAAAAATGAAATAAGATAAACTTTTCATGATCATTAATAAAACGATGACCGGAAAGTACTTTATTTAAATTTTATCTAGATGTAATTTCTAAACGCATAACAAAACATATTTGAAGAAAAACAATGAGGATTTTATTATTAAAACCCTAATTTTCTTAAGGGAATCTCTTTAGTAACTCGATCATTGCCATCCGACTGTTTCATTCATATTGATTTGAATAAAAAATTTATGTTTAAGAAAGAAAAATGTAATTAATATTATATAAGTTTTTTCTGCGTAAAGAAAGGAGTACAATAATTAATCACAGCTTTTACTTTTAATATTTTTTATATCGTAGTTTATGAAAGAAAAATATTTCATTGATTTGTATGCACGACTCTAATATTTTATATATATTATTTAATGAAAATTTTGGGAAAAAATCACCTATTGAAAATTTTATTGAGGACTGATGAGAAAAACGGCTAAAGTTCTATAGATGGAAAATATAGATACTTTGCAAATTTCATATACTGTACTAGTTTATGTCCTTTTCACTAAATTCTTTTAGGGGTTAAGATATTTTCTCAAGTGCACCCAGTGTTTTGAAATTATTTGTGGTGCAATTTCACTCTTAAAGTTACTAAATTGGTGCAACCTCATCCAAAACTAAAGCTCAGTTATTTTTAACTATTAACTTGCTAAACCATCAGGAATTTGACCAAATTAATCTTAGGTGGCATATAACAAGCACGTGACCTGGCAATTTTTTGAAGTTGAAAAAAAAATTATACTGAGAGGCACGATTGGAAAAGAAGAGGCAGGAAAAAAAAAACATAACAAAAGAAAAGGAAGAGGGACAAGGAGATATCCAGACTTTCCCAAGCAAATCTAATACAACAAGGATAAGGATCAGATCTGAGTCCATTGGAGATGACGAACAGGTCCGATTAAGGGGAGACAAGATCACAATATTGTATGAGGAGGAAGGTCACCAGATCAACCAGATCTAAATCCCAAGATGCGAACCTAGGATTTGAAACAATCAATGGAAGGTCGGACTCAACTAGATCTAAGTGGCGTGTGCGCCTCTGGCAATGCACAGGACGTCGCCGGACTCAGAGAATCCACTGATTGGAAATTTCACTTTCATATGCTTTGGTTCTGGATCTAGATAAGGAGAGAGCAGAAAAGACAAGAAAGCTTGGGGCTAAAGGTCTGGATCTGACAAAGCTTTCATTTTTTTTTTTTCCCGGATCCTTCATCTTTAATTGTGCGTGTTCTTGAAACTCACTAACCGGTTCGAATCCATCCATGAAAAGATTGTTATTATTATCACTATTAGCATGATAATCCATGTAGCTCTCCTTATGAAGATGACTGGTTTGGACCCATTTTAGAATTAACTAGTTGCTTCATGCCTTCTCTTCCTCCACCAAGTCGCTTGCTTCAGCCTCTTATAGCTTAAATCTGTTCATTTTCAAAGATTGATGAAGGACTGAAGAATTCGCTGTGATGTCCATGTCATGTACTTGTCATATGCCACCTAATATTAACTTGGTCAAATTCTTGGTGATTCAGTAAGTTAACGGTGAAAATTGACTGAGAGTTAGTTTTGGATGAGATTGCACTAATTTAATAACTTTAAGGGGTGAAATTGCACTACAAATAATTTCAAAACACTAGGTGCACTTGAATGCAGTTAGGGGTGTTCAATTTGTTCCATCCCAGTCCCGGTGAGTTCGGGACAGGACAAAAAAAATTTCGGGACGGGACAAGACAGTAACCGGGACGGGACGGGACGCAAGACGGGGTCGTCCCGTCCCATCCCGGGATTTTTTTTCTTTTAAAAATTATTTATTAATAATTATTATTAGATTATTCAATTTACTTATTAATAATAACTCTTATTTTTATGGTGATTTGTAGCTCTTAAGTTGTAGTATTATCTCAATAAAATCTCCTTCCTCAATAAAATAATTCATAAATTCATTATATAGTGTTTTTTTTTACGTATTTTTTTTTTAATTATTATTTTTACACCTTTTTATGCTATATAATTAAGCTTTCTACATAATATTTTTTTATAATGTTTTTATCTTTAAAAGCCCAATAAAAAATAAGTATTATAACATAAAAAAAATTCATATAAAAAATTATGATATCTTTTTTTTAAAAAAAAAAAAAAAAAAGGGGGAAGCGGGACGTCACGGTCCCGTCTCGTCCTTAAACACCCCTAAGTGCAGTGTGCCCCTTAACCCTTCTTTTAATGGGGATTTCTTTTTTCGGTTTTTCCAATGATTTATCCCTTCCTAGTGTACCGTGGATATTGTGTGGGTCTACATATACATAGCCACACCTCTTTTTGAGCGGCGACCAAAAAGAGTTTATTTTCTCATATAATAGAAGCAGCTTTGCATTGGTCAAGAAGGAAGAACGCTCAAGGACGCTTCAAAGGCACAGGTAAGAAATCTAGTTTTAATTTGGATGCTTTTTTGAGATTTCGCTTAAATATCTATCAGCACAGTTTTTTCGAATACATAATTTTTTATTGTTATAGAATCCTAATATCACCGCATAGATTGTAGGAAAAGAACTAATCATACGATCGAGCTTGCCTGTCTAATTCCATCAGTATCTGTTATCCTAGTAAACCATATATACTATCTGCTGATTCAAACTTATATAAAATGCTGAGAATAACAACGTTTCTTTGCAAATTTGATGATTAAAAATCATTAAAGCAGCTTGATGATTACCATGTATGACTGCATTCCTTCGATAAGTATAACGTTTTAGTTCGGTTATAATGCACCTCTGTAAACATATGTGTGTGTTACAAGTTCTCTTAATTGGGTAATTAAATAGATACTGATTTAAGAGATCAAGTTTCCGTGTGTGTTCTTGTTTCTCGCTCTCTAAAACTTCTTCCATATGAAGAAGCTATCAAGTTATGTCATTATATTCAGATTCAAATTAAGCGTTATTATATATAATCATTTGTGTATTAATATTTCTCTATTAATATATCTCTCGTATATATTATAATCTTTCATGGTCCAGCATTAATTGCAATTCGGACCATCATGGCTGCTTCATCAATTACTACTTGTGAAGAAAGTTGTAAGTGCGTAACTTGCTGCTTGCCAACGGAGATGTTTCTAGGGATTGCTTCAAAAGTCCTGTCTCAATCACTTGAAGACATATATCACCTTAAACTGACTTCTAAAAAGACAATGAACATTACAGATGATGACTATGTATACAAGTATGCTTCCCTAGATAAAGTCTCTTTCTTTTGATTGCAAGAAATCCCACGAGAAGCTTCATTCTTAAGTCGTTGCAGATCAAATGGTAACTTAGAATCTCTACACAGATGAGGCATGGAAACATATTTTGGCAACTTAAAGTTATACACCGGGTTCAATATGATACATATGGCAGCTCAAAAAGGACACAAAAGCTCAATGTACGCTGTTTTCATGGTTGTTCTGATGTGGAACAAATTATTATGGCAAGAAAAACTTGAAGAGGCTTTAGGATACTCGAGATTCTTAAGAAACCAAAAGTGTGTGCATAGGTGTAGAAATGATGTTGCCAAATTTGCTCACTTGTTAATTATTTGCAATGGTGGCCGTTTTGGTCTTAGTAATCGATTTGTTTACTTGTTTCAGGCCAAAAAAAAAAAAAATCTATTTGTTTACTTGTTGCTACTTGTGTCCCAAAGGGAGCGCTTGTGTAATAATCTTGCATGCATAAAGACATGGAGACTCAATCAAAATTGGAAGTTCAATCTTCATGACTGAAGATCCAAACATGTGTGAAAATTGCAGGTGGGATTATGAAGTGCAAGAATTTTACAATACGAAATAGATTTTATGTGATGGGATATGGAATAACGTCTTATTAGAAATTTTAGATATTTCATATACTTAGCTATCATTAGGAAATGCTTGGTTTTAATGTTGATTAGGGTGTTATCTTTTATCATGAATTAGCATTTGCATTTAATTTTAATATTCTAGAATGTTCTTGCTTCAAATTTTAAGTGTTAGAATTTAGGCTATAAATAGCACTCAATTCATCTTATTTCGTAGTTAGCCTTTAATTATGAACCGAATATTAGGTATTGAGATTTTTCCTCTTTTTCTTTACTCGTCTCCTTTCCCTTTCTTACTTCCTTTCTCTCCCTCCTTTCTAATCTCTCTATTCTCCCTCTTTTCTTTCTTTCACCTGTCTGTCCTACATCATATCATTGTGTGTGTGTGGCTTACTATGTTGTAGTATAGTATTCATGAATCTGTTCGGTGTATAAAATATAGGGAAAACATTTTTTTATATCAAAGTTGACTGAGCTACTCTAACAATGACAAAGGAAAATAATATCAGCATGCATGCTCGAAATCTCTTGATCAACCATGTAACGTGATGATGCCACCTTATTAGAAATCTGAATTAACAATTTCCTTACACAGAATTACCATGTTGTTGGCAGAATGTGATCTTGTGGTCCACCCAATCTGCCAGATAGTATTAATTAGGATAATGATGACTCCCTGAATTAGATTGAACTGACCATCTTTCTGCAATTGAAACAAAGTGGTTTTTTAAACTACGAATGGAGTTCTATCGATAACAAATAGGTCATTTAATATTCAACCAGCCAAACCACAGAGCTTTAGCATCAGCGCAATGTAGGACCAAATAATATGTATGTTTATTTACTAAGAAGCTGTTGGTTTAAATGGTAGCGACCTCGCCCTCATAAAGAAAAAAAAACAAGTTTGAATATAAAAAAGCACACTTGTTAGAAGGGCTATACCTTAACCGTTTTAAACTCAAAAGAGATTAGTCTCAAGTCCAATGCAATTTGGGAATACTCTTGTTTTACTTTTAAAAAAAGTTTATTTATTTAAATTTTATCTATCATATTATAATAGAATAATATGATATTATAACGTAGAGAAAACATCTTTAGATATGTAGAATTTCTATCCCAAATGAGACAGTCCTTTTTATTGGAAACAAGGGAGGGAAATGTTGAAGATGATGTTGGCAATTTGGGCAGGATAAAGACCAGAGATCAAGGTTGAATTCCATTCCAAGGGATTCCTATTAAAAGGGGTATGCGGTGTAAGATCTGCCACATTATGTATGTTTAATGAAGAAGCAGACTCTTGATGCATAAACCATCAATCAGTTTCAGTATTTATCTCTTTGATAAACATCCTAAGCTCATCAAATCCAGAATGTTCATATCTTATTTGGATGGCCCATATTTAATTTTTTAAATTTTATTTATTCAAAATAATTTTTTTAATATTATAGATTCTAAAATAGAGATAATATCTTAACTATCATTCTTTCCAAAAATAGTTTTTTATTTAAAAATAAATAATTAAAAATTTTAAATCTGAATTGTTCAAATTAGATATAAACCATTCAGATATGATTATCTTCAAGTGCTCATCAAGGCACCAAAAACTGGTTCCACCATCAAGGATGGTGTTTTAGATTACTATGGAATTTTCATTGTCAACTCAGCATCTCAAGTTTCCAAGAATGATACCAGCGTTTTCCAACTTACCTTTCCATATCCAAGAGGAGTTATGAAGTAAACAATTTTAAGGATTTATATTAAAACATTTCAAAAATTATAATTATTTTAAGGATTCGGATTATTATTAGCTGTTATAGTATCATAAGTTAAAAAGCTGATAATGAAAAACTAAAATATTTTTAAATGATTATTTTTATAAAAATTTAATATCAAATCCTATATGGGGAAACCTCGCTACTATTGAGTAATTATCATATATGGCTACATACTCAAGGCTCGAAACTGTTAATCTTAAACAACCCATAGCTCATTCATCCAAATGCTCTTTGGCCAATTAATACTTTTGAGATAACGATACTATGGAAAATAACACAAAAATGACACTTGAACTTGGAAATGTCAAAATAGTTACTTGAATTTGTAAAATTCTAATTTAGGCACAAGTTACCAATTTGACATTTATAAATTTATTGAAATAACCATATTATCCTTTATTTTTTTTATTGTTTTTTAAAAAACCAAATGTTCCCACCGGCCGGCCGATCGCCATATCTTCGGTGGCTGGTAACAAGTTTTTTTGAAAATTTTACAATTCCAGTAAAACAGTTAACAAGTTTTATAATGTTATTATCAAGTTCAATATAACAGTTAATAATAGCTTTTCCAGAAAATTCAAAAAGTAGCATTTTCACAACTTTAATAATGCTGTTAACAAGTTCCGTAACTCTATTAACAACTTCGGTATAACATTTAACAACAAGTTTTCTGAAAAATTCAAAAAAAAAGAAGAAGAAAACATTTTTACAACTTTAGTAACTACTTTTTTTGAAAAATTTTACAACTTCAGTAAAACGACTAACAATTTTTATAACGTTATTAGCAAGTTCAATATAGCAGATAACGAGTTTTTTTAGAAAATTCAAAAAGTAGTATTTTGACAACTTCAATAATGTCATTAATAAATTATGTAACTCTATTAACAAGTTCAGTACAGTATTTAACAACTGGTTTTCTAAAAAATTCAAAAAGTGGCATTTTTATGATTTTAGTAACGTGGTTAACAAGTCATGTAATGATATTAACAGCTGTCATGACCATAATGGCTGCCTAATAAGTGGAAAATTTTTGTTGCACTACTTTCATGAGGAGCTAATATCAAAAACATCAACCTTTATGAGAGTTATTAATATTTACATGACTTGTTAACCATGTTACCAAAGTTATAAAAATACCACTTTTTTGAATTTCTTAGAAAACCTATTGGTAAATGTTATACTGAACTTGTTGATAGAGTTACGGAACTTGTTAACAATATTATTAAAGTTGTAAAAATGCTACTTTTTGAATTTTCTGAAAAACCTGTTATTAACTGCTATACTAAACTTATTAATAGTGTTACAAAACTTGTTAATCGTTTTACTAAAGTTGTAAAAATTTTCAAAAAAAGTAATTACTGAAGTTGTACAGATTTTTTTTTTTGGTTGAATTTTTCAGAGAACCTGTTGTTAAATGCTACACCGAACTTATTAGTAAAGTTATAGAACTTGTTAACGGTATTACTGAAGTTGCAAAAATGTTACTTTTTAAATTTTCTGAAAAATCTGTTGTTAACTGTTATATTGAACTTGATAATAGTATTATAAAACTTGTTAACTATTTTATTGAAATTGTAAAAAATTTCAAAAAAAACTTGTTCTTGGCCGCTGAAGCTCTAGTGACGGCGGCCACTTGAGTTCCAGTCATCAGCTGGCCAGTGGGGACATGTGGTTTTTTAAAAAATGATAAATATAATAAAAGGTAATATGGTCATTTCACTAAATTTATAAATGTCAAATTGGTCACTTGTGCCTAAATTGGGATTTTGCAAATTCAAGTGACCATTTTGGCATTTCTAAGTTCAAGTGTCATTTTTGTATCATTTTTTCAAGATACTATTTCTTAAAAATAAATAATATATGTTTATGTATTTAAATTTTATCTATCATATTATAATATAATATAATTGAAATATATTGCTAAACAATGAAAATTTTATTGAAATCCCTAATTATCTTAAACGAATCTCTTACTAACTCAATCAGTGCTATTCTGACTACCCGAGCACATTCAACCATATTGATTTGGGGAAAAAAAAAGGGTAATTAACATGATAAAAGTCTTTTTTTCCCTCTTAAAAAGGGAGCAAAATACTTCATCGCAATTTTTAGTTTTTAATATGTTTAGGGTGTTAGTTTATGCAACAAAAAATTTTCATTGATTTGTACGGAGTGCACACTTTATGAAAATTAATCACATATTGACCCATTATGGTTTTTTTAAAAAAAAAAAAAAGATAACTTTTTTCGTCAAAAAATTAAAAAAAGATACCTACCGGTTTTAGATAACCGTCTGTATCTTATACCTGAGTTAGAATATTTGGCATAGCTTCAACCTCTTATAAAAAAAAAAATACTTCATTTTAGCATCACCCAGTGTAACTTTAACTGAAAAAGGTTAACTTTTAAAGAGTATAATTTATCAAAAGTACAAATATCGGGAAAATTTGTCACATCTGCAAAAAATATAAGTATCACCTCATTTACACGCTAACTAATCAAACAAGAGATTCTAAGTATCAGATGAAATACTTATTATTTTGTCTTCAAACAAATGAATTCGATTGTTAACAAATATTTTTGTAAAGATGTGTGCCAACAAATTAGAACACTGAACAAATTAATGACCACAATCAAGTAATTACCTGAAATAAAAAAAATCTCTAAATATCTTCAATGTATAGGAGCTCAGTCAGTTATATTTCTCCCATTGCCATTAATGAACAATTATTTTTTTTAAAAAAAGTTTTACGTCCTGGTCAAAACTTGACTACCAAGTCACTGAAATAATCAATTTTTCCCGTCCTCTCCCACGTCCCAAGTCACCAATAATATTCTTTTCTTTGGTCTCAAGAAATTATCGGTACTTTCAAGTTTCAATGCACCATATTTCCTATTTTTACATTTTTATTTTCATGATTATTTATATATTTTTATAATAAATTATATTTAGTTTTTTATATAGCAACTGAATTACTACTATTTAGTTAGTTAATAGAACAAAGATGCATATCTATTTGGATTGATTTTTTTTTTTTCCGGCTATCCTATTTAGATTCATTCCTTATTATATCTCTTATCTTCATATACACACACATTTATAAAAATTTATCCCTTCCTAATAAATCATATCTTATCCATTGTCTCGACACACACAAACACATGTATATATGACTAATCAAATATGTGCGTAGAGATCTATATATAGACCCCACCTCTTCTCGAGTACTCCCAAGTTGTTCATAGAAAAGAACCAGCGTTGCATCGTTGAAGGAGTTTTCTAAGACACGGGCGAGGCACATAGTTTTGGATGCTATTTTGAGATTTCTTGTATATAATATCTGGACGCTATTTTGAGATTTCTCGTATATAATATCTTTCTTTCTTTATTTTGATAACTAAACAATTCATATATACAAAACGTAATACGACAGCCGTGTAGGAAGCTGAACAGTATGGTTTACTGATAAGAAATCTTGTTTCTGTGTGTTCTTGTTTCTCATCCTCTCAAACTATCTGAGTTATTCAGATTCAAATATTAGGTCTTATTATAATCATTTATATATTCTTCAGTTTTTAAATTTTCCCTTTTTTCTTTCAATATTTTTGACATATAATTTTTTATAGTGTAGCTACGTTGCAATTCCAAACGACCATGGCTGATTCACGACCACTTAAAAGAATTAAAACCACTACTTGTGATGAGAAAACTACTAATAAGAGCATAACTTGTGGTTTGCCGATGGAAATATTGTTGGATATTACTTTAAAAGTTGCATCTCAATCGCTCACTGACCTTTGTCACCTTAAACTGACTTCCAAAGAGATGCTCAATATAACAAATGACGACGATGTATACAAGCATGCTTCTTTGGATACAGTCCCCTTCTTTCGATTGCAAGATATACCACAAGAAGCTTCATTCTTAAGTCGTTGCAGATCAAGCGGTAACTTAGAATCTCTCTATAGAGAAGGCATGGAAGTATACTTCACTAACTTAGAGTTTTACGAAAAGGGATTGGATTTGGTACGCATGGCTGCTGGGAAAGGGCACAAAAGATCAATGTATGCCTTTGCCATGATTGTTCTAATGAGCAGCAACACAATAAAAATAGCGTTTTTTGGGACCCAAGAAGTTGAAGACGCTTTGGGGTACCTGAGAATCTTAAGGAACCAGAAGTGTGTGCTTCAGTGCAGGAGCGATGTTGCCGAATTCGTTCGTTGTTTGAGGTGGAATAATATGCGTTCTAATCTTGTAGTGCAAGTAAGAAAGCGTTTATGCAATAACGTTCCATGCACAAATACATTGAGACTGAGAGTTGGAAGTTGGTGCTTTATAACTGAAGATGATGATGAGAATGATCCGAACATGTGTGAGAATTGCAGATGGGACCACGAGGTGGAAGAATTTTGCAATATGATATAGATTTTATACATGTGTCGTGTTTTGGTATAGGAGACAACATTTAACTTTTTGTTGGTTGAATTTTGCAGTGTATTAATGGTTATTGCACATTTTTAGTATGTTTATGATGAGCACTAGTTGCCTTTTATATTTTGATAGTTTTTGGTAAATCGATCATTTGTCCTAATTTGGGAAAAGTCACGTTTGGCAAGATCTAATTGATTCATATTTGAGGCACCAAACTAACTCATCATTAGTTAGCCAGTATATAACTTAGAAGCAACGGTATTTATTAAAGAGAGCTTTAAAAAAGGTAATCATTTATAAGGACTGAAAATCAATATGTCAATATATTTATGGGAGAGAATATTAAAAATAGTAATTATTTATAAAGATTAAAAATCAAACTATAACCATATAAATAGTAAATTGCGCCGAGTTAAAAACCCCAGCACTCTCACTGAATAACTTGGGGGCAATTTATTTATAAGAAAAAATTGATCTACAGGCCGCTGGTTCTTAATAATTTTACCTGATTGGCTGATTGTATCTTTATTATTTATTATTCAAAATACTGTATTGCTTTTATATAAAAATTTATTTACATGAACTGATTGATTGTATCTTTATCATTTATTTTAAAATTAAAATACAAAAGATCTGTAATTTTTCAATATTAATAATTCATCTGAGAACACCTTTTATTTTGGCTGTTTAGATAAAATATATGTTATTGAGATTTTTCTGTTTTCTTATTTCATATTTTTTTATCAAAAAAATTTTGCACCATTAAAATATAATTTGAAAGATCAAAATCATAAGTGGAAGCATGAAAATACTACCTCATGTTCTTAACATAAGACTAAATAATTAATTTATAAATATTAAAAAAACTAGTTAAATTAATTATTTGTAATACATAGATTTTCTGTTTCCAAAAATACTCTTGTTTAATCATGATCATTAAAATTAATAAAAACTTCTTAACATGTGTAATCACTATAGAAATTATTTAAAAGAAAAATAAATAAATATTAAAAATAAAGTTGATTAAGATTTTATATTTAGGATCAAATTAAATCTCCAATTAATTATTATGCTAAGGACTGGAAAAGATAGTATATTCTAACAAATGTATGCTTTTTTGTAAATAATTGTCTTGTTGTAAATCAAATAATATATTATTATTCATGCCATTATTGATTTTTTTGCCAGAATTCATTATTAATTACTACCTCTAGTTCTTAACATAAAAACTAATTGAAAATTAAATTTGGTTTTAAATATAAGACCCCAATCCACTTTGTCTCTAAAATTTATAATGTTTCTCTAAAATATTCTATAGATTGGAAGAGATTCCCATCAAGAGATACTTTTAACATATATAATTAAAAAAGATAATTTAGAAAAATCAATATACATTTGTTACATTTAACAAACTTAAATATCATTTGATGCATTCATGGCAAACACTAAACAAAGAAAAGAAAAGTCATTTTATGTATTGGTTAATTATGTATATGGAATTTCCACTGTCAATAACTTGCCATCTGAAGTTATGAAATAAACAATTTTAAGGGTTTATATTAAAACATTCGAAAAATTATAATTATTTTAAGGATTGTAATTATTATTAACTTTTATATTAGATTCAATATCATAATTTAAAAGGCTGATAATAAAAAAACTAAAATCTTACAATGAAATATTTTTAAATGATTATTCTTATGAAAATTTGAATATAAATCCTATAGAACCATGTCAAAAAAATTTGGCATAAAGACAGTGATCAGTCATATTTTTATGCATTTATATCCTCTTCATTTGGTCCTTTTGATAATGAATTTTGGCTAATTGATCTCAATTACATTATATTTTATTTTATTAGCCATTTTCTAGTTTATGAAAATTAATTGGTTAAATATCAGAAATTAATAATTAAATTTTCATTTAATATTTTTCCACATGTGGCTATTGAATATTTTCTTATTTTGTGAGGAAAATATATATTTGGTAGGTCCTTTAATTAGGGTTTTTTTTTTTTAATAACAAGGGAAGCTAAGCTTGATAAAGATACAAACGGTAACTATCCACCTAATAGAGCTAACCTCCTGAATGGAACTAGTTTCAATGCTCATCCTTTTGATGAGCACCCTAAGCTTATTATATTTGAATCATCCATATGTTATTTGGATATTTCAGATTTGATTTTTCTTTTATTTTTATTTATTTAAGATACTTATTTTAATATCTATAGAATCTAAAATAGTGATGATCTTTTAATTATCAACTATCATTCTTTCAAAAAAATGGTTTTTTTGTATTTAAAAATAATTAATTAAATATTTTAAATCTGAACTGTTCAAATCAAATATAAACAATCCAGATCTGATAAGCTTGAGGTGCTTATTAAGGTGACGAGTATCGAAACTGGTTTCCTCTTTAATAGCACTCTCCAAATCTAAGTGGAGCTGGTTTAGATAAAAGTCAGGAGGTCCTGTTAAGATCCTCATATCAGTAGTGCTCCCATGAGCTTCCCTCACAAGACAATCAGCACATTTCAAAGTTTCTCGATACACACGTATTGTCTCTAATTCCCAAGCGTCAGAAATGAAAGATCTGATTTCCATAATCTCCCTATCCAGAGGATGTGTCCCTCCACGGTCATTCATCACCAGTTGAAGAGCTTGTATTGAATCTGTAAAAAGTTTAACTTTTACAAATTTTAAACTCTTACAGATTGCCATACCTTCTGCCGCAACTGTCGAAGCATAACCTATATTTTTCTAGAATCCCACTAACCAGTTTCCTTTATGGCTTTATCAGCCACCACAAGCTGGCTGGTGCTGATCTTTAACCGAGCCATCGATGTAAGTATCGTCCATTCTCGACTCCCTCGAGCATGAGTAGCGCACATCTCTAGGCAATAACCTTTGGATGTTCAGCAGTTCCTTCAAAGGCCTTCAAAAGCTTGTTTGCATCGGTTTTCCCATTTAAGCCAGCAGGCAAGTCCAAACACCTTCCTCCAAGGCCACTTTGCAAACTTTTTGAGTTTCCCATTCATTCCTTTCATTCCTTTTCAACCAAACCTAATCAGGTTTTATTTTAAATACTTTGAAATTTACATATTTTAAATTAAAAATTAACATGTTCACATTTAAATACTGAGTCACATTTTAAAATTTCTTAGTTAGCATTTTCTGTTAAGGAGCCTAAATTTCAGGGACTAAACTGAAATTTAATATAAACTTAAAAGACTAAACATATATTTTAGCCTTGCTTTTTATATAAATAAATTTTAGTAAATTATTTAATGACATTTGAATTCTCTTTTCCAAATTTGAACAACCAAACTAATTTAATCAACGGCTTCTAAATTAGGGAAAAAAACTATAGGATTTGAGAACATTTAGGAACAATTAATGTTGGTAAGATTTTTTTTTTTTGAGATAAAGATGCTATTTATTAAAAATAAGTAATGCATATTTTTTATTTATTTCAATTTTATCTATCATGTTATAATATAATAATTTAAATATATTGCTCAAAGAAAAAACAATGAAAATTTTATTAAAATCCTTAATTATTTTAAGTGAATTTCTTGCTGACTCAATCACTGCTATTCTGAGTGGCCAAGCACATTCAATCATATTGATTTGAAAGAAAATGTAATTAACATAGGTTTTTTCTTCCTAAAAACGGAGTAAAATACTTAATCACAATTTTTAGTTTTAATATTTTTAAGATTTTAGTTTATGCAACGAAAATTTTTCATTGATTTGTACTAAGTGCACACGATATAAAAATGGTTAATATAATTTTAGATTCTTTAAATTTGCATAAATTTTTATTTTAATTCTTTGAGTTTCAAATTATGGTTTTTGGTCATTCAAGAGCCAAATAAGTCAGTTTTTTATTAAATTATAGATACTAATATTTTAGACAGAAAAAAACTCAAAAGACTAAAATGAAGACAAACTTAATAGTGTTGGTTGCTCAATATAAAATATATTTGTATTTTATCATCTGATGTAACTTTAAAATAAAAAAACGCTATGTGTCCTCCTTCTCTTCAGTGTTTTGTGAGCCGGGTTCGACTAAGAAGGAGACAATTGGTTTCTTCGAGATTTCAGTAGGAAAAGCTCGAAAGGTTGCAACTGGGTGGGCCCTTTTCATTGTATCTTTTTACCTGCGATGAATTTGAGTTTTGATAAAAAAAAAAAAATTTATAGGGTCTCAATTTATGCTGGTCGATGGGACATGGACAGGTTTTATTACTCACGCATTGTGCTGAAGTTTTCTCTCTCGTCGATAGAGGAAGTAAGAGAAGTCACCCGTTCAAGAATTTTATTGATGAAGCCAGGCTTTATGTCACAGGAAATAGTCCGTTCTTCTGTCTCATTTATCGAGAGAGTCCTTGGCTACCGCTAACTATTTAGCGAAATACTCCCATTTTTCGGAGAGTAACTTTGTATCCCAAATCAACTACCTTTTGATTTAGAGGGGAACATTGATAGAGAAAATTAGGTTTTTGTTGTTACGTCTAGGTTATCTTGTTGTCTCAGCTTTCATCAAAACAAAATTTTAATATTGAATGAGTATAATTTATCAAAACTCAAAAGTACAAATATTAGGATAATTTATCACATCTACAAAATACACACACACACAAGCATTACCTCATTTATCCGCTAATCAATCAAAATAGTCAAAATATCAGATGAAATTATTATTATTTTGTCTTAAGGAGGGAGGAAAAAGAACTAGAAAAGAAAATAAGGGGAGAAATGAGTTCTTCCCTATTTTGATGGGGTAAAGGGCGTCTCCATTCCCCTTTTCCTCTATTTCCATCCATTTTCATCTCAAACATAAGATTGAGATTTTAACAGTTCAAATTTCATATTTATAAAATCATAAATAAAATGTCAAATTTTTAAAAATAAATAAATAAATAAAATCAAATAAAATTACTAAATTTTAGTTAGGATAATTCATTACAGTAATAAAAAAGATTTTATAAA